AGAGAGAGAGAGAGAGAGAGAGAGAGAGAGAGAGAGAGTTTTGATTTGAATTTTGCTGAGGTATAATTTGATGCGTGAGCTAACTGGTTCATTTACTGTGATCAAACCGAGCCCGTGAATCACACAGACCCAATGTATTGCATTTATATCTGAAATGAAGTTTGCATGCCCAATTTTACAAAAATTGCTCATTTTTTCCTTTGAAGGATTACTTATGATGGTGATGGAATTTCGAAGCGATTGAGAATCTCAGAATTTCCAATTTCTACTGAAAAAGGGTTGCTCCCTGTTTTTCATGATTCGCCATGAAAATTGAATGAACATGGGAATTCATCTTTGAAGAAAAGCAAAAAAGCTCCAAAAAGTTCTTCACACAAGCAAATACCTACTATTGGACTTGCCTTTTTGTCTCAACAACTGTAAGCTCCAAATTAGTTTGAGCTGAATTTTCTTTTTTAATAAAAGCCTCTATATGTTCCTTTTCTCTTTATCTTTTTCTTGTCATTATCTTGATTTCCGAATTTTAATTTTCCGGTTAAGCTTGTCTAAAAGTAAGATGCTGGAGACAGAATCGTGCCCTTCCCGGGTTTTGTCGCCTTTCCGCGAGGAAAGTGGTGACGAAGAACTGTCCGTTCTTCCGAGGCATACAAAGGTTGTTGTTACTGGTAATAACAGAACAAAGAGTGTTTTGGTTGGTCTACAGGGGGTTGTGAAAAAGGCTGTTGGGCTTGGTGGTTGGCATTGGCTGGTAAGAGTTTCATCATCTTAGATTTTGTTTATTTTGGAGAAAAGATTTTTTTTTTTTTTTTTTTTTTTTCTTTATATACAAAAGTAGTATGAGAAGGAAAGTATTTGTACAACCAATTTGGTGGTGATTTTTTATTGGTGTATGAAAAGATTGTAGGATAAATTTTTTAATTTAGGTAAAAGTTTGAACTAATTTCTGAAAATTTCTTTGCCGGTTATGTTTAAGATGAATTTTTAAGATATGTTTTGTCTTTAAAATGGTTTGGATGTTAAGAGCATCTCCAACCGTGAACATGAATTGTACTGTATGTGGCAATTAAATAGATGATCTTCCGTCCAAGTGGAACAAATATATATATATATAATTGCTAGCATATAGCATTTAATTTTAGCTATTTAATAAAACCTCTAACATTTTCCTTCCATTTTTGTTTACAAAAATTATCATTAATATTTTCTATTTCTCACATTAATACATCATAATGAGTATAATCATGTATTTTTCTATATATAATAGTTATTGCTAATATCAACTAATAATAATTCACAATAAATATAAATTACATAATTAAGAACAATTGTTTTAAGTTATTTATTTTAACATCAATATTATCTTTTTCTTTTGTATCTCATGAAAAAATTTCTTGAAAAACAATTAGTAAATCATTTTAATAGCATAGTCAAACAACTTTATAATCTTATAAACAATTATTTTAATAATAATAATAAGAATAATAATTAAACAGTTAGTATCTAATGGTAATATACAATTTTTCATAATAATAAAATCGTTATTTTTTTCTAATAATATAATTTTTGAAAATGTAATATGTTCATTATCTAAAATTTTAATATTAAATTCTCAAATATTACTTATAATATTATATGTACATCTGTGCATGATTGACACATATATAATTTTTTTTCTAAAACTCAGAAACACCAATAATTTTTTTTATTTATGTTAATTTTCTTAATATATGCTACAAATATATAAATTATTTTATTCATGTTACTAATATAAACGTTGCATGGTTAAAATACAATTTAAATCTCAATTGATTTTGAATGATAAAAATAACTTAAGAAAAAATAATAATTTTTATATGATAGAAGCACATGTCTAATTAATAAATACAAACAAAAACATAAATTTTGACTCTAAAAATAAAATCTTTAGTTGGCGGAATATAAATTTCAGTTTCAAAAATCATATCAAATGCGCCACTATTATATAGTTCATATTTTTCTAGTTATCAAAATATTTTCAACTAATCATGCTCTTGATTTGTTGGTATTTACACTAATTAGTTAATAGACTTCTGTAGGTGCTTATAAATAAAATAAAAATCAGACACATTTTTACTTTGCATTCCACACTCATAATCACAGTCACCGAAAAACTATGTCGACACAACATATTTCTTTTGAGTTCCAAATGACACTGCAATTTGATAATATGATTTTCTTGGCTAAGAACAAGAAAAAAACTACAATATTGCGATTGATTCGATTTTAGTCAAAGAAATTTTCGACAAACAATGAAGTAACTACTGGGCTGAAATTTGTTTTTCATGATGTAAGGCATGTATAAATTAAAAGCATGTCTACAACGGCTAAATAAAATCAGAATCGATCCAAGTATTTGTCTCTGATAAAAAAAAAAGATTAAAAGTGAAGAAAAAACGACGAAAATGTTGCAGGTGGTAGGGTTTTAGGCATTAAATACCTGTCTCTACCACTTTATTGAATGTTCTACATTTGTGTGGTGGATGAAGCTTTGATCGTGCTATATGGGTCCATGCATTTGGATTATGTTTAATTTTGCCCAATTTCCCCCCTCCCCCCCACCAAAAAAAAAAACATCAGCCTTGATACTACTTGGATTCAAACGAAATCAACTTTATTTGACCGAAATGGCCCAAAAAAGAATTTATTGTTTGATTTTGTCTGGGCATTGTTAATAAAACAATGGGATGTGAATGTTTGGGCTTAAGTTATAAGAAAAATAATGGGATGTGGCTTATTTAAAATATTCTCTTACTAATTTTTTTTATTAGGCTACATCAAGAAATCAGATTGGGCTTCGAAAAATTATGGACGTTGTATATAAAGAAGTGTTTAATTATATTTGAATTTTCTTTCTTAAAACTTTTTTTTTTTCAATGATTATGTTATAATTTTTACTATTGTTTATATTTTTATTATTTTATTTTTTATCATATAGTTTTCCGTGCAAATGCACGGGTAACAACTAGTAGAGGTTCAAGTCCATAAATACTCTCCAGTGGTTTATTTCTATCTCCACATAATCCATTTATTTTGTTTGTAAATAAGGGGAAAAAATAACTCATTAAGTCTAGAAGGACTTCTAGAATTTTTGGTTATCTTTCATGCCACATCATCATCAATAGAAATAGAAAAATCACGATTGGAGAAGTTTTTTTATTGCATGCCTTCTACAATCCTACAATTCACACATCGTTGGAGATGCTCTTATAATAGGCTTCTCTGACATTTATATTTATTGGTGTTCATACTAGTGTTTATATTTTATAATCTGACTTACTGAGAAAGCAATCCCTCTTATTGAATATTTATTTCCTTTTCAATTCTGTCATTTAATATTGATTAAAATATAGTCGTGGGCTCTGATAGTAAATTCAGAAAGTAACTAAAATTTCATAAAATTATTACATGTGACTATTGCTTTATAAAATAATTATGTACTGAAATTAACTGAAGCAAGGTCTCCCATTTTACTTCACACAGCTGCTTTGAAATATTTTATTTTTAGCAAACTCTGCACAGCTTTATTTGAACTGTCCCTTATATTCTTTTTCCACTGTTTATTGCTACATATCATTGAGTTATAAGATACACTGCCAGGTTTTGAAGAACGGTGTTGAAGTTAAGCTCCAGAGAAATGCTTTAAGCGTTTTAGAACCTCCTACTGGAAACGAACAAGATTTCGATTACGATTTTGATGATTCAAGCAGTGGGTCTGATATTGGTGAGAAAGACCTAAAGGAACATAATCCATTCTGTAAGTTGTGGGCCATGTGCTTAATATATCTCATTACTCAACTTTATTTCAAAAACATAAAAAAATAAATTAAAATTTGATCAATTGATCAACTTCTCTTAGAAAATTCCACATTTTTCTCTTTTGATCAGCATCTGGCTTCCACTTCACCAAGATTAGCAAGCCTAGAGTTAGGTATAGTAGGCCGTGGTCCCCACCCGTGTCTACAAAGTCAATTAACCGAACTAGCTGCAGAGAGTTTCAGCTCAAATGTCGTGCTAACCAATCGGTAAGAAAAAGGCCCTTGTATAACTTTGTGTATTATACTTTTTCTTCACACTCTATCTTGGTTTTCCGTTGCCATGTTATTAATATTTTTGGAAGTTTGTTACTTAATATTAACAACTTTGCTTTAGAAATACATCTCATTGAGTTGCCATGCTGACACATACGTGTTTTCTCTGTCTTCTGGTGATTGATCAAGAGAGTGAATTTTGCAAAGCTTGGAAGTGAATCACTTCGGAGATATTTGCGAAGCTTTCAACTTGTGGGTATTTTTATATCAACTTCTTTGTATGTATCATAATGATGGAAGCAAGTAAAAAAACACAACTCAGACTTCGTTCCAAATTCTCATTTGCAGGCACATATGAATCCTAACCCGACAAAGGAACAACTGGTTAATGCTATCCAGCAGCATTTCTCTTTACAGGTCTACTATCCTACACACACACAATGAGAAGTTTAAGAACTAGAAGAATATTTTAGATTTAGATTCTTTTTATGGGTCGAATTTGTATGTACTAGTAAAGAACCTCCACCCAACACTTTCTCTTGGTTTCAATAACTTTCTTCTTTCATTTTAAACACATTAACATCTGATTTCCAAGTAATCGCTGGCAATAAGTCACTTCAAGAAAAATGAAAATCGTTACCAAATGTGTGTTTTGATGCAGCAGCAAGTGGATGAGGTACAGGTGATAGTGGAATTCATCCGCTCGGCCAAGAGATTGCAATCAGCTTGCTCGAAGAGAATGGCGTGAATTCTTGCAGAAATTCAGAATTCCACGAAACTTGTAATATAAGTATCTATGTATCTATTTAGTTGCATACTGGGGGGAGTCTAACTTTAGTTCACTTCTAATTAACTGCTAATGTAGAAGACCAAAGTGTGTGCATGCTCTTCGACTTTATATGCTAATGTCGAACCCCTAACCTCTATATTGTGGCACATCAGCCTATTATTATTATTATTATTATTATTATTATTATTATTATTATTATTGGGCTCCATCTTCACTGAATGAGCTGCATTTTGTTATCATCAATGTTATGTTTCATGTGTAGATGAGATGATTTTAAGATGTTATCATGGGTATATGTTTAAGGCAACTGAATTTTTTTATTGGGAAATCCAAAAAATTAGGGTCGTTTTTATGTTGTGTGTGTGTTTAGTTGGATTATTGAAAATAATATGTAGTAATATTTTGATGTTGGTAAAATACACAAATTAAAATTTACTTTAGATTACAAATTATTGTGTGATATGGTTTAACCTTGGGCATTTTGAATTTTTGATTTTGCCAAAACATAAACTTTTAAAATACTTATATATCTTTCGGGCACCAATTCTTGTGTGAGACGATTTAACCATTAATCGAAAACATTATATTAAATCCTTAAACAAAAATTATTGTTTGAGCCGATTTAACCATTAATTTTATCTAACCTATCTACTGTTACATCTACTTATATATATCAACAACTATACAGAGAAAATAGATAAAGAAGTTAATGTAAAACAGGCTGTGATTTGGTGTAGATATTTTGGAATGGATGGGGATTAGGGGACAGCTCCAATAAATGCCTACCAACTGGAATTTGTTTTATGGTCTTTCTTACTTACAAGTGTCTTTCTCAATCTAAATCAAAACAGTTTCATTTATTTATTTATTTATTCCCATGGGAGATAAATTGGAGGGTCCCATTAATCTTTTACCTGGAATTTGAGCAACATCCATTGATGGACCCAGCAATAATTTTGTTGCACAAAGGTTTAAAGATAACTTGCCTCATTTTTTGGCCACATTTGCTGTGAAAATCTTGTGCAGTCCCACTATTGAGGTGTTTTCTCTCTGTGTGTAATTGCATATTTCAATATATCAGTAATTGCATATTTTTTAACCGTTCGATTAACACACACTCGTATATATATATGTGTTGATTCAAACAGTAAAAAGACACACTCGTATATAAATGTGTTGATTCAACAGTTTAAAAAAAAAAAGTACCAATAAATAAGTTGTGTTAAGGTTTGTTTACTGTGTAGGCACATATAAGTTGTGTTAAAGTTTTTACTATGTAGCTAAAAATAATAAAGCAAACTTCACATTAACAAGCTAAATCCAAATTTCCAGAGAGAGAGAGCCTACAGTATACTGCTTAAATAAATTTTCGATTATGCAGATCAGAAATGCATTTTACTCTTAACAATAATAAATGGCAGTCAATTACAACAAATACCCAGCTGAAAATACTTCAATTAAAAAAAAAAATTACAAAAAACCTCTATAATAATAAAATAAAAAAAGAAACACAAGCGCGCACCTAGCTCTTGAGAAGAGACTCGATCCCTTCGAAGAAAAGTGGAGCCATTTCCGGGCTCGGTGTTTTTATCGCGCATTTAAGGCCCGGAATACCGATTGCTGCTGTGAGTTCAATTAAGAAAGGAATACCTCGAGGGATTTTGGCAGAGAGATACAACACGTCTTGATTTGAGTTCTTGCGTTTCGCGATGAAGAACATGTTGGATGCAGACAAACGGTCCAAGGTTGACTCTACGTTATTCAGCACAAGTGATGGAAAGTCCTTCGAGACCTCGTTTGAATCAGGTAGAGATTTCCACGTCTGTTTATTGAGAGGCGCAAAAATGATCATTAAATTCCCATAATATGTAAAATTCGCCAAGTAGACCTTTGCTGTAATCGAGCTGAGCTTGGGCGTTTCGAGCACGTGTTCGTTTACGTTCGAACAATGTTTGTGTTCGATTATTTTCGAGCAAAAAAAATCGTGTTCGAGTTCATTAGTTTAACTGTTCGTCAAAGTTCGAGTTCGTTCATTCGTGTTCGAATAATTTAGGACTTTAACTCTTTAAAGATGTCTAGTTAACTCAAAATTTATTCGTTAACATAAAAAAAATAAAATAAAAATATTTTTTATTTTAGATTGATTATTTAAAATACCATGTAAATATATAAAAAATAAAATAGAATTATATTAACTTAATGTTCATGAACTTTATCGAGCGTTCGCGAGCGAGCTCGTGGTCGTTCGATTATTAAATGAGCCTAATTTTCTGTTCGAACTCGGCTCGATTAACAAACGAACGAGCTTTTGTTCGCGAACGTTCAATTCGTTAACAACCCTACATCTGATAAGCAACCCAATTAAACTATTGGCTTGAGATATATGCATAAAAAAATAAAAAAAAAATTGAAGATTCAGTAAACTAATTACCTCAAGGAATGTGGATCGCTCCATTTTTCCATCCTCCGAAAAGAATAAAAGCAGTGATATTTTGTCATTGAAATACCAGACGGGCTGCTGATTATTTTTCACAGCAACCTGGAGAAGCGTGCTAGGTGGGCCGGGAGATACATTCTGGAACAAAATCATCGGCAGAAGGGTGCTTGCAGATGTACCAGGTAGCAATTGGGGGACCTGATAGAAATGAAATATAATCAGAAGTAAAAAAATATAAAAATGTTTTCTTATAAATGACCATCTAATTACCTGGAGTGGTGCACCTGCAGCAAGACCGAAAGTGTTCTTGTTGAACTGAATCATAAACCCGTCGAGTGTTACCTGAGAATTGTTCTCAAACAACATGCTGTAGAATATCTGCCCGTCTCTTCTTACCATCTGGGCACTAATTTGTAGGCCCTGACCAGTATGGGCAGGTAATAGAATCGGCAAGGGAGGTCTGCAATGCAATCAAATCAAATGCTTGATTTCAAAATTTTCTCATTTTGCATACAGCCCAAATGAGAAAAAAAAAGTTGCAGTTTTAGTCATGTATGTTTCACTACCCAAACTTTTTCGTCCCCCGAATTGTTATTTTGATTTTCGTCCTTTATATTTGCAGAAAGGTTACAAAACGGTCCCCGAGCAATTCGAAGGGGACGAAATTGCAACCTTTTTTTTTTCAAATTCGAAGGGGACCTTTTTGTTGCGAAAGGAACTTTTTTGCAACCTTTTTGCAAACATAAGAGACGAAATTCAAAACCACAATTCAAATGGGACGAAAAAGTTAGGGTGCAATTGGATATAAATTCAATAAAAAAAACCAATCAAAACTCAAATTTAACTACCTCATTATCATCAATATTATCAATATAATATTAAATAATATCAACCGATCATTCTTACACATCGCATCAACTTTAATCACTATTCATCAACTCACATAATTTTAACTAACCATCGCCTTCATATCATCTCTCTCCTACTTTTACATCAAATCATCTTTAATTATTTTATTTTAAATATTATTCTAATTTAAACTTAAATTCCCACTAACAACTAACCATAGCACATTTTTTTAAAATTAACTATGGTTAACAAAAAACCAATCAAATCCATATCCAATCACACCAAGGGTAGTGAAACAGGACTAAAGTTGCAATTTGCTCGATATTTTATGCTAAGAAAAAACCTACCCAGCTAAGATTGCAGGTTGGTCAGTCGGCACTAAGGCACTGTTGTTCCCATCCATGCCCATCAGGTCAAGTAAATCGGGGACTGGTGCAGGAGAAGGAGCTGTGGATGGCTGCACAGTACTTGCGCTGGCTGGTGATGATGACGCACCAGCATTGGCAGGTGTTTCGGAATAACCATCTTCACCGTCAGGATATTCCTCCTCATCTGTTTTCTGGACGGTTTTCACACGAGTCACAAATGCTTCAGGTGGCTTGTGGTATACAGATGACAATGTGGCGATGTTGGCAAGAAGTTCGTCTAGGAGAGACGTATCAAGTTGATTAGAGTCGTCGCTAATCACAGGCTTTTCAGCTAAAACAACATCCTTTGCTGCCTGAAAAGACATAGAGTAATACCCTTGACTTACATATATACACAGAACTTTTCTCGACTGCTTTACACCAACAGATCTGATTTACATATATATCACATTCCTTTCCAATCCCAGGGACAGGTTTCTCAAATTCAATATTATCCTTTGCATCTTGATGAGGCTCAAGTGTACGTGTATCAGAAAACCCAGGCAAAATTTTAAAATAGAAACTCCTTGACACCAAATAAGTTCCAAGCCATAAGCACTATAGCAGTAAAAATGAGAACCATAAAAAAAACTACTAGCTTACCTCCGGATCAGTTGAAAGGAGTCGCCAATATATGTATGCACGGTCTCTAAGATCGGGATTATCAGTCTCCACAGTTGCATTATTCAGAACGACCTGAGTAGGAATATGATATAAGCAAAAGTTCTGAAATGCAATGCAACAGTGTGCGTGTCGGTGCGTGTGTGTGTGTGTGTGTGTGTGTGAGAGAGAGAGAGAGAGAGAGAGAGAGAGAGAGAGAGAGAGAGAGAAAGAGAAATAGAGAGAGAGAACGGATTCCTAATTTCAAACTAAGCACGAGAATTGAACCTTTTAAGTGGAGGTTAAAAGGCATACCTGGATCATCTGTTGAGGACCTTCAGTTGGCTTCTTTAGGAAAAGTTTAACTGTTGCTGTTAGCAACTGCAATTGAACCTGTGGAGGTTCTTCTGGAAAAGTCTCTAAAAAGCTTTCCAGGAGCTCATCGGCATTATCAATTCTTTCGGCATATTCACCAATTATCCAGATCATTGATGCCTGTAAAGGAAGACGCATTAAGACATTTTAAATTGAACAAGATTACCTCTTGACCAAAACACACACAAGCAAGTTAACAAGGCCCAAGTCCTGCAAAATATACCTTTGCCTCTGGCTCATCCAAGGTGTCTAAGTTCTCACAAAGTGTAGCAATTATGGACTCATAGCTG